ATTATAGTTGGTTGATTGGTAGTTGATTGTTTTTAATAGTTTTAAAAGCACATCCATGATCATGGTTTAAAATCTAACAAACTTTACTACTGGTTTACCAGGGAAACTAGCATATGCTATTCACTTCCAAATTCAGATTGCAGGGATGGGATGGGGAAATGATTATCTAAAACAATGTAAGTGTCTCTTAGATAATGAAGCATATGAAAGTATATACCAGTAAGGATCTTGGTTAAAAGCTAAAAAAATGATAAATTTAAGAAGAAAAATGATTCAGTGGAAGAATATTAGACAGCTCTCAGAATTGATGGAAAGTCTGGAGAACCAGCTTTGGAAAACAGTAGAAACCAAAGAAAGCTAGATGACAAAAATCATAGCCAAGTCCCAAACTCAGAAAGAGCTGGGAGTTTGTGTATATTTCTGTTGGTCTTGATGCCTCTGAAAACTGGATTCTGAACACATTGCTTATTTGCATCACTCGTGCCTGATTCAAAGTCTGGTGGGAATGTCCAAGTACCCGGCTTAGTCTTGTGCCATTGCTCAGACTGTCACATGAAAGACAGCAAGTATATCTGACTTCAGCTTCCACGGTAGCCCAGATGGGACCATTTCTCCTACCAAAATTTATAAAATAGGTTTGGTGACTAAGCACCAAATATAAAAACCTATCACAGGTATATCATAGTCTCTTTGTCTTTCCAACACCCATATATACCATTCTTCCCATATTTATGCATTTAAAATTCTTCCTCCTAACAATACTATTAGCCCTCTGCGATTTTCAACTCCAGGATCTCAGTGATGTCTATTTCTTTCTGGTTCTATAATCTTGTCTCAATAGTTTCCATCCCATAGATAAAATTATAACTTTACCCCCAGTATATATGATAGTGTAAGATAAGAAAGGAAATAAAAAATATAGCCCTGGCTGGCATAGCTGGGTGGATTGAGTGCGGGCTGCGAACCAGTGTCGCAGGTTTGATTCCCAGTCAGGGCACATGCCTGGGTTGCAGGCCACGGCCCCCAGCAACCGCACATTGATGTTTCTCTCTCTTTCTCCCTCCCTTCCCTCTCTAAAAACAAATAAATAAAATCTTTTTAAAAAGATAAGAAAGGAAATAAAAAATATTAAATATATAAACAGACATGAGTCAATGTGGAAGAAAATAGAGCAGTGTTTTACATAAAGCTTTCTGGGTGAGAATTACTTAAGTAACTCATTTAAAAATATAAACTCCAGGGTCCTGTTACAGACCAACTGAGTCCCCAGGATAGGATATGGGTAACAGCATGTTTTATGTCCCAGAGTTCTCTGATTTAAAAAGTAATTTTGTAAGTACAGTCCTTAATTCACCACTGGTTATTAGGCTGGGTGATTATGACGTCACTACTGCCATGTACTGTTTCCTTTGTTATCAACCAGCACCTTAGCTGATCAGATCTCTTTATCTGGTGGGTGACCCAAAAATTGGTAGCTTGGGTGGTTTTGCCTATAAGTGTTTTTCAACAGTGCTTAATTTTCATAATTCAACATGCTATTGGTAGGAGGTATTCAGGAGATGAGTGAGATTCCTGAGTTCTTGTTAGACTGCTCTCCTTAGTCCCTTCCCGCGCACCCCACAGTTACCAGGGCCAATCACTCCAACTAGCATCACCACCACTTTTCCTAATCTCTTACCCAGAGAAATGAGCTAAAAATGACCAGGTGGCAATCATACCCCTTTTACCTCACTCAGGATGCAAAAATTGGTATACCAACAGAATCTGGAATCATGGAGATGGGTGGCAAGATCAGTGAAGGGTCAGATTTTATCCTACCTGCTGGCTTGCTTGCCACAGTTTTCATGGTGCTGACGAGAGCTTCCTGGGTAAGAGACTGAAGACTTTATCGCCAAGTTTCAGCATATTTGCACCAGTTCCTGGAGCCCCAATACCCTCAGTGACTTAAGAGGTCTAGATGACACCTGTACACATGGTGGGTTGCACTAGAGGAGAAAAATGCAGGGCTAAGGGCCAAGCAGTTTTTGAGCGAGCAACAAAGAAGCCAGTATCTTTCCCCAGGGGAAGAAGCAGTCAAATGGTAGCAGTGATGTTGCTTTGACTTATTTAGATACCTATGACTAGCTACAGAAGTGGTCAGTGTCAGGAGACGTTAAGCCTTGCACTTGGCATACTCAGTGATAATATGCAGGGACACTCAGCACTCATGTCAGATTGTTTTCTCCCCACAGTGGAAAGCAAAATACATGGGCAGTGTGTCAGATGTAACAAGGTGTCAATCCCTCTGCTTCTCTGGGCCCTGTTATTCTGTCAATAAGAGATATAACTGAATACTGTTAACTCATTTGGAGCATATGACAAATCCTTTAGAAGAGCATCCCAAAATGTATTTTTTCACCAGCTTCCAAAAGTAAACCTTCAGTAGGACCATCCATTATTTTATAAGGCCATCTGCTTCTGGTCTGGTGGGATATGTGATAAGACTAGTTAATCCCACAGGCATCAGTACCCTGCTTTACACCTTTGATAGGAAAGTGAGTTCTTTGGTAAGAAGCAGTGTTGCATGGGATGCTGTATAGTGTGTATGGTGTACAAGGTATTCAATAACCACAGATGAAGTACATACAAGGAGCATAAGTCAGGGAAAGCAATCCAAACCCAGAATACTTGTCTATTACTATAGAACAAGTTGCTACTTTTTTCATTATAGTAGGATCCCATTGTAATCAAACCTGCTACCCAGGCTGTAAGTAATAGTACTATCCAATTAGTCTTGGCAGAGGAAAATTCTATGTTAAAAATATATGCATGTCTCCATCCCACCATGGGTACCTTGTTAGTGAGCAACTGAGCAAACAGGTGTGAGGAGAAGAAACTGATGTCTACAGAGTGGATCCTTTACAGCAGCCTCTCAAATGACCCTCAATAATCCTCACCTATCTGTGTATTTATCCCTTGCATAATCCCCTCCTTTTGAGAGTGATCTGGGTCTGATTTACTTCTTTTTTTTTTTTTTAAGAGTTTATCTTTTAGAGAGAGGGGAAAAGAGGAAGAGAAACATCAATCAGGTACCTCTTGCACACCCCTGCCAGGGGATCTGGCCTGCAACCCAGGCATGTGCCCTAACTGGAATTGAACTGGTGACCTTTTGGTTTGCAGGATGACACCCAACCCACTGAGCCATACAGGTCAGGGCTGGATCTGATTTCACTCTAATGATAGAATACAGCAATAGTGATGGATATTACTTCTGGGATTAGATTTCAAAGATGGTCTTCCATCTTGATCAGTCCTCCCCTTTCTCTTATTTGTTCATTCTGTGGAAAAACAGCTGCTGTGTTGTGAGATGACCTTTGAAGAAGCCCAGTAGAAAGGAACTGAGGGAAGCTTGTAGTTCAACTAAAAAATCCTGCCAATAATCATGTGAGTGAGCTTGGAAGTAGATCCTTCCCTAATCATGCCTCCATGAGACTGGAACCCCATAAAATAGCTTGACCATAACCTCATTTAAGACGTAGAACCAGAGGCACTCTGGCTCCTGGGTGCCTGATGCACAAAAACTGTGAGAGAATGTTATTTTAAGGCACAAAATTTTGGTATGTTAGGCAGCAATAGAGGAAACTTGTTCTGATTAAGAGCCCTTTAGCAATGAGAGCTTTTTTTTTTTTTTTTTAGTAGGACTCAAATATTATGCTCTCGGGCCATTTTGAGTGGTCCTATTCCACAGAAGTATTCCAAAGCCTTTATATTCCCAGTCCCTGACCATTTGAGTACACCAGTGCCCAGGAAATGATGTAGATCTTTATCTCAAGTCATATCTCCTTCCAGGCAAAGTGCACGAGATAAGGTGGAAGGATTTTTTTCTCACTGCTGCTCCTTTAGGGCCACTGTTAAATGGGGCTCTAAGTGCCAAAGCAGTCCCTTGATGGCTGGGTTAGTTTATTGAGCAAAACCATATGTCATCTAGCTTTGATTTTTTCCCTCCAACTGGTCACAAAGAACTCAACGTTAGGTGTAGATGTTAGCTAAGGGTTAAAAGCATGTATGTGAGCTACCTGCTAGTGAAAATTGGTTGGTTTTTTACTTTGGCCCTCTTCTGTATATACTACTTCCTCTTAGTAAAAGAACTTTTCTAGAAGGACCTGGTAACTCCTAGCTCATGATGACAAACTCATTGCACAGCCAACTGATGTCTCATGATCAAACATATATAACAAGGGCCCAATAGCCAGCCAAGACATTTTCTGAAATAAATTCTGAGGCCTCCATTGTAATTCTGTAAAGGCTTCCACAGGTTACATCAAGTCTCCTGATCTGCCACTTATGCTCCCAGCAAATTGAAGCCGTTGGAATTGAAGGGTCCAATCGGCAGAACGCTTCACAGCAGCCTGGACAAGATGGAAAGCATTGTCTTGCTCTGCACTTTACTCAAAACTCATCCTTCATAAGGTCATCTAGTCAATGGCTCAGAACTAACGAATAGGGAGTTCACCAAACAAGTAGAGATTTAAACAGTAAATAACTGGGAACTGAGGGGAAAGAAGCCTATTACACATACAAAAGAGTAAAAGATACTCTATCTTTTCTATAAGAGATCTTCCAACCTTTTGCCTCAGAGGAATAAACGAAATTATTGCTTCATCCACCTTCAGCCATAATTTGGGGATTTAATTAAGACGGGCTTCAGGGTAATTCGGGTCATTCATGACAAGACTGAGCAGCTTCTTGTTCTTTGCCTACAGCCTGGACTAAGAGCGCGATTCCTAGAGCGGGCTGGGGAGGCCCCACCCCTCCTACGGAGGCTCCGCCCCCCACGGAGGTCCCGCCCTCCGGGCGAGACGCAGGCCCCACCTCTCGAGAGCCCCTCCACTCCTGCAGTGCGGGCGGGACCACAGTGCAGGCTCCTTCCTGTTGCGGAACTAGGCGCTATGGCTGTATCCGGGCTCGCCGGGTTTCTGGGTCGAGCTCCGGCCACAGCTTGGAGAGCGGCAAGTAAGGCACTCGGCCCAGGAGTCAAGGTTGCGGGTTGGGTCCCGGCGCCACAAGAAAGACCTCGCGCGGAGAAAGCTGCATGTATCCCTGGGTATTAAGGGTGCATGGGGTCTCAGAGCTTCTCTTTGGTTCGGCTCGGCTACGGCGTCTTAGCTTCGACAGGTCCGGTACTCCCGGGACCTCAGGGGTGGAACTATAGCTCGAAGATCCCCACAGCCTTTCCAACCAGGATACCTGCTTCCTTCCGGGTCACTGCTCTTACCAGGAAGGGCAGCGAACGTTCCGGTTTGCGTATTTGGGAACTTGTAGAACGCACTACACTTTGATACTCATGGAAAAAAAAAAAACAAAGAAAAGGAAAAGTGGGCCCTTTGGGAATAGGAATCGTTCTTGTACTTATTTATTTACATGAAAAAGGAATTGTGTAGTTTACAGTATGAAAGAAATGGGAAAAATGCAGAAGTGGGCCAAAGGCAAGTAAGTATAATAAAAATTAGATGGCGCTAGGAATTGTTAAAGTATGGGTGTTTCTTAGTAAAAACCAATATTTTAATCCCTTTTTGGGGGAAAATATCAATATATTACAGGCTTAACCCACAGAGTATGCTAAGCATAGTTATAATTTAGGACATCTGGGAGAAGTTGTGTTGCGTACATGAAAACAGGATTATTGCTCATAGTAGTGAGCCCCAGATTTCTCTGCAGTTTATTTTCCTTTATGTGACAGTGGTGTCCAACCTTTTGGCATCTCAGCGCCACACTGGAAGAAGAGGAGTTGTCTTGGGCCACACATTAAATACATTGCGACAGGAAATCACAAAAATATCTCAATGTTTAAAGTAAATTTACGATTTTGTGGTGAGCCGCATTCAAAACCATATTGGGCTGCACACGGCACAAAGGCCGTAGGTTGGACACCCCTGAATTTTTCTTCTCAAACATATTATTTGTTAATTATAAAAAATTTAAATGGTCCAGAAATAAATAATATGGAAAGTGAAAGTCCCACATTATCCAAGCTCTAAGGTAGTAACTCTAAAATTTTGTTGTGTGTATATTCGACAACCCTTTTCACTTGTGCTAAAAACTTAAGAATGAAGTATTTGATACCAAAAAATTATACAACACAAGTGTAAGTTATGAAGCAAAGCTAACACTTAGAACCCATTCTTCAGTTTAAGAATATTTCCATTGCCAAGCAGCTAGCTCCCTGTGTGCTGCTTCCTGATTCAATTGTGTAACTTTGCATGTTGATCTTTATAGAAATGGTTCCATACAATTTGTATTTATTTTACTTCCTTTTTTCAACTAATGGTGTATTTTGAGATTCATCCACATTGATGTTTGAGGTTGATATTAGTTGTTCAAGTGTGAAAAACATATCTTCTTTTCTTCTCAGTGGACATTCAGGTAATTGTACAAACACCAGGTTTGGCTGCTACACATTTCTTATATGCCCTTGTGCAAGGAATGAAATTCCTGGAACATAGAGTATAGGGCTGTTCAATTTTATAATATGATGCCAGGTATAAAGCATTGTCTATTCTTTTTTTTTAAGATTTTATTTATTTTTAGAGAGGTAAAGGGAGGGGGAAAGAGACGGAGAGAAACATCATTGTGTGGTCACCTCTTTCGCAACCCTCACTGGGGACCTGGCCTGCACCCAGTCATGTGACCTGAATGGGAATCAAACCAGTGACCCTTTGGTTCTCAGGCTGGTGCTCAATCCACTGAGCCACACCAGTCAGGGCACATTGTCTATTCTTACTGGCTACTTCTACTAGCAGTATATGAGTTCCTGTTGCTTGAAATACTTGCCAACACTCAGTTTCATCAGAAAATTTAACTTTTGTGTGTCTGTAGGATATCGAAGTAGTATCTTACTGCAATTTTGCTTTCCTCTGGTTAGAGAAATTAAACATTTTTTTAAATATGACATTTTATCTTTTTTAAACATTTCTTGAATTACATACTTTCTCTTTTTTTTTAGATTTTATTTATTTATTTTTAGAGAGGGAAGGGAGGGAGACAGAGAGAGAGAGAGAGAGAGAAACATCAATGTGCGGTTGCTGGGGGTTATGGTCTGCAACCCAAGCATGTACCCTGGCTGGGAATCGAACCTGCGACACTTGAGTTCACAGCCCGCACTCAATCCACTGAGCTACGCCAGCCAGGATGAGAAATTAAACATCTTTTCAAAGATTTATTAGTTTTTTGTGAAATGTCTTTACTAATGGATTGTCTTATATTTTTACATATATTTGAATACTAATTTTTTAGCTATGTAAGTGGCAAATAGCTTGGTTTGTGGGTTATTTTTGTCACTCTTAGAGTGTTTTTTTAAAAACCACATAAGACAGTAGACAAAATATAAAAGAATGAATCTGCATGTATAATCACATACCTTCAAAAGTCTTGGTTCATAATTTTATGTTAATCTTGTCTTGATCCTTTTGTTTATCATCAGTGTCTTGTGATTATTTCTAATAGAGCCTTCTCTACCCTAAAGTCATAGAGAATTTTCTTCTAAAGGGTCTGTGGTTTTGCCTTTCATATTTAAACCTTTATTCTACCAAGAATTGATTTTTGTGGATGGTATGAGGCAGGAAACCAATTTCACTTTTTTTCTGTGACAGTAACTAAGTTCATGTATTGGACCTTTCCCTTACTGATGTAATGGCAGCTATCATAAATCAAGTGTACAGATACAGATATGGGTTTATTTTTTGGCTTTCTTTTCAGTTTCATTAGTCTGTCTATTCCTGTGCTGATACCACTTGCCTTTAATAACTGCACCTTTATAATTAATCTTGATACCTAATACGGTAAGTCCTCCCGTGTTGATTTTCAGAAGTGTCTTTGCTGTTCTTGGGTATCTGCTTTCCATATTAAATTCTTTCTAAAAATAAATAAATAAAGTTCCTGGTGGGATTTGATTAATACTGCTCAATATTTTTTCAGTTATTTTCTGATTGATGATTATGTATAGAGACACAATTGACTTATTTATTGATTTTGTATTCAGTAACCTACCCAAATTACTTTATTAATTTGCATAATTTGCAGATGGTAGACGTTATTAGGTAGACACTGATATTATTTGCAAATATCTAATTTTTCCTATTCCAATTTTATATTTTTCTTTTCTCTTGTTTTTCTGTCCTTGCTCAAATGGCCAGTACCATGTTGACTAAAATGAAGATAGCAGGCATACCTATCTCATTCATGATTTTAAAGGGAATGTGTTCATATTTAATTTTGAGAAATTTTACTTAAATTCATTTTTGAAATATGTGTGCCTTGTGTTTAGTGTGTGTTTGTGAGATAGATCATACATTAACTTTTTTCTTTTGTTTTTTGTTTATTTTCTTTTTTTTTTTTAGTTTGGGATCATTGAAAACATACTGGTCATTTCACATGTCAATTTGATTTCAAATTTGCTAGGGGTAAGAAAATTATCTCTTAACTCACTACATTTCTCTTATATTTGTGTTTACTTTTTCTTGTTTGTAATTTTTCAATTTGGTATATTTAGGGTGATTTTTCTTGATTAAGTTAACTAATGGTATATTTGTGTTGTTGTATTTTAAGTATATTTCATTGATTATGCTGTTACAGTAGTCCCAATTTTTTTCCCTTTGCCCCTCTCTGACCAGTACCCCTCTTCCCTCTAGTAACCCCTCCCACTTAATTCATGTCCATGGTTTGTGCATGTAAGTTTTTTGACTTCTCCCTTTCCTATACTACTTTTAACATCCCCCTGTCTATTTTGTTGCTACCAATTATGCTTCTTGACCCCTGTGCTATTTCCCGCTTTCTCCCCAATTCCCCTCCCAGCTGATAATCCTCCAAATGATTCCTATACCTATGATTCTGTTCTTGTTCTGGTTGTTTGCTTAGTATTTTTTTGTTTTTATTTTTTAGATTTAGTTGTTGATAGTTGTGAGTTTATTGTCATATTAATGTTCAAAGCTTTGATCTTTTTTAAATAAGTCCCTTTAACATATTATTTAATAATGGCTTGGTGATAATGAATTCTTTTAGCTTAACCATGTCTAGGAAGCACTTTATCCGCCCTTCCATTCTAAATGATAGCTTTGCTGGATGGAATAGTCTTGGTTATTGGTCCTTGCTTTTCATCACTTTGACTACTTCTTGTCAGCCCTTCTTGCCTGCAAAGTTTCTTTTGAGAAATCAGCCAACATTCTATGGGAACTCCTTTGTAAGTAACTCGCTGCTTTTCTCTTGATGCTTGTAAGGCCTATCTTTATCTTTACCACTTGGCATTTTGGTTATGATATGTCTTGGTGTGGTCCTCTTTGGGTCCAACTTGATTGGGAATCTCTGTGCTTCCTGGACTTGTATGTCTATTTCCTTCACCAAGTTAAGGAAGTTTTCTTTCATTATTTTTTCAAACAGATTTCCAATTTCTTGCTCTTTTTCTCCTCCTATGGCACCCCAATGATGCGAATGTTGGACCTCCTGAAGTTGTCCCCCAGGCTGCTTATATTACCTTCCTTTTTTTGGATACTTTTTTCTTCTTGTTGTTCTGATCGTTTTTTGTGCATGTGTGTTTTGGGGGTTTTTTGTGGGTTTTTTTTTTCTTCCTTATGTTCCAAATCATTGATTTGATTTTCAGCTTTAGCCACTCAACTGTTCCCTGTAAATTGTTCTTTATTTCAATTAGTGAATCCTTCATTTGGATTCTGATTGGCTCTTTTGTTATGCTACTGAGGTCCCTATTAAGTTCCTTGAGCATCCTTATAACCAGTGTTTTGAACTCTGGTAGGTTGTTTATCTCCATTTTGTTTAGTTCTTTTTCTGAAATTTTGACTGTTCTTTCATTTGGGCCATGTTGTTTGTTTCCTCGTTTTGGCAGCCTCCCTGTGTGTGTTTCTGTGTATTGACTCCATGGTCATGTGCCCTAAGGTAATAAGTGTTCTGTAGGGTCCAGTGGCACAACCTTCTCTATCACCCAGCCTGGGTATTTGAGGCATGCTCTTCATGTGGGCTAAGTACACCCTCCTCTTGTAGTTGAGCTTCAGTTGCTGTTGGCAGATCAATGGGGGGTTATTTACTCAGGCCAGTAAGCTGCAAGAATTGGCTGTAACCACATGTCACCAACCTCTGTCCTCCATGGAGGATCAACTGTGCAGGGGCAG